TGGTGCTCCTCAAACAACATAAATTTTCAAAGAACAAGAAGTTCTCACTAGTGAATGCAATAGCTTGTATTAAGCTGTTTGGTAACCACAAGAATAGTTCACGAATAAGTCACGCCTGCTTCGAGGTTATAGTAACTGACGTCCCTTTTCTTTTGTAACACTTGCACAATTCACTCTGTTCCATTTTCTACTCTCCTAATTTCGTCGTTTGTTCCTTGTCTTGCTTTACTATAGCTGCAGTTCTTTCGAGTTTGTATTCTTTAAAATCCCAAGCCCAAAAATCTTTCTTTAGAGAATCAGATGATTTGGTGGACTTCTCCCCATCTGATTCTGATACCCAGAAGTTTTATGCCCATCATCATTACTGTTATAATCATTAGCTTGAATCAACCCACTACAAGATAAAGACCTCTTCATTGAAGATTAAGGATCCTAATCTACCAAATTGGTCCAGCCTAAGGCTAAGAGACTGAGCCCAGCCAGTTTCCATGCCTGAGAGAGGATGAGAACCCAGGTCTAGCACCTTAACCACTCTGCCACACTGGTTCTCATACTTACTCTATAATGGATCCTAAATAGAGAGGGCTTCTACATAGGAAACCATTACTGGGGCTCTCCCAATATTGAATATAAGATTTAAATTCAAATGTGATTGATTTTTTTCCCTGAGAACAACTTTGTGAAGCCATGAATGTACCGGACTGCATGCGGCCCTAACTTTCTCATCTCTCTGAATTTGTTGCCCAAGGAAAATATACGCAAAAGAGTTGATTATGTTATTTTTTGTCTCAATAATCATATGGTAGAGTAGACATGGAATAGATTGTGTTGGGGATATCGCACCCGGCCTCTTGGGCAGGCACAGGTGGAATGCTGCCATTCAGAAGAGTCACTTATATTTACATTCTCTTCTCACATTGACTAAATGCTCCAAAAATAATTCTAAACATAGCCTTTCAGCCCTGTTGATTATCAGATCACAAGCTGTTTCTTTCTATGTTTTTACCACTTGTCATTACTGGAGAGAGAAGGATTAGGTTCCTCTCTCATCATAGCCACTCCATATGAAGCTAAACATTAGAACTTATCAACATTACTTGGTAAGCTATTTTGGAGAGAAAGCTAGGCCTTTTATATTGTTATTCAGTCCAGGAGAACTGACTATGTTTCTGGTACTTTACAATTTGACTAAAAGTGCAGTATTAGAAGCATATGATTGGAATTTAGTGTTAATACCTTGTTTATCTACTGTACATATAAAAAACCTTGTTCAAAGCCATTGTGGAATCATATTTCATTTTGGGTGCACAGATTTTTTTGCCTGTTTGTTCTCCGGACAATGTAATACCAAACTTAATTCCCTGGTGCCTTTGGTGTTAAAAATAGGTGATGATGCAGTTAGGATAATTATGGTGGGTCTGAATATAGTTTGCATTCTTACATAACAAAATGTTCTAACCCAGAGCCTCTATTAAAAGGGAGGAGTGGAATGATGTGCTGTGGCAACCAGAAATTATGTATATAACACTGTTTCGTTTCCATAGACTCAACCAGGAATATACCTTCACTGTTCGAACTGAAACCATCTGCAATCAAGTATCATGAAACATGATGCCTGTCTGCTTGGATTCAGCGATGGGTTACCACATTGCAGACATTTATGCAGTGAGAGAGAGAGAGAGAGAGAGAGAGAGAGAGAGAGAGAGAGAGAGAGAATGTCAATAATGCAGGCCCCTTTGTTCCACCAATCTGCACCTCAGTTTTACTGAATGATAAAAATAGCATTTACAATGCTTAAGTATACAACAAGCTCAAAAAATACTGCAGTTCTGCAAGAATTCATCAAACCACTCAGTGTGGTAATTTGATATTATTCCCGTACTGGGAACAGATTTGAGACAGGGTGGCTTTGCAGCATCCTGAGCTATTACATTGTAATGTAGTAGCTAAATGCCAAAGCTGCGAACCAAGGAAGTTCTGGGTTCAAATGTCCAGAAAGTCAAGCACTTCAAATTCTGCAGGTTTTAACATATGTAGGGTTTCATTTAGGAAAGCCAGTTTGATGTTGTGGTTAAGGCACCAGGCTAGAAACTGGCAGACCTGGCTTCTAGCCTTGCCTTGGGCACAAAACCAGCTGGGTGACCTTGGGCCAGTCTCTCTCAGCCCTAGGAGGTAGGCAAGGGCAAACCACTTCTGAAAAATCTTGCCAAAAAAACTGCAGGGACTTGTCCAGGCAGTCACCAGGAGTCAAGAAGGCACCCAAAAAAAGAAAAAAAAAAAAGGATTTCATTTAAATGTTACTGAAAAATCCCTAGCTATTGCAATCTTACAGAACAAATGTGTATTTTTTCCTGGCATATCCTTACTGTCTTGCTTTATCAATTGCAAGAGTTGTAAGGCTATTTGTTCAAGCACAGATTATAATCTATCAGATTTTATGAGAAGCAACAACAGGCATTTTCTGGAGTTTGACTATTCTTCTAACAGAATGTATTTGTAAGCACACGTCTGGAAGATGGTGACTCTCTCTGACTCCTTGGGAGAGTCTCTAAAGCCGTCTTTCTCAACTGGGGCCTTGTGAGAAGTTGCTAGGGGTTCTGTGAGAGATTGTGGTTAAAAAAAACCAGTTTTTTGAATTTTGCACACTCTGAAATGCTAGCACTCTTGGTGATGGGAAAGTTTATGGGTCATGACTCAACTGCCAGCCTGTACCTCTGCTGTTGTTGTAAACATTGTAAAATGTGGATTGTGTCAGTTAGAAATGAATTGTATTGTGAAATTTTCATATCTTTTGCAATTTTTATTCAGGGTTCCCTGTCAGCCTTACTGAGTAGACCAGACAGGAAACATGACCAGATAAGGTAATTCTACTTTATTGTAAAGCTACATTGACAGAATCTTGCAAGTCTGAAAGTATGATTCTCCCACCATCACCTTTACAGCCTGATAACTTAGGGAGGGTCTCTCCTGAGCATCTTACTCTGCCCACTATGCAGCTGCAGGCTATGCTGTCTCTTATCTGACTGTTCCCTAGGAAGCATCTCTTTGCCCCATTTCCCAAGGTCTTTCCCACATACCATTTCACATGCTGTGGAACAGCCTCCCTGTGGCAATCAGAAACATGGCAAGATAAGCTAATTCTACTTTATTATAAAGCTACATTAACAGAATCTTGCAAGTCTGAAAGTACAATTCTCCCACTGTCACTTTTACAGTCTGATAACTTAGGGAGGTCTCTCCTGAGCCTCTTACTCTGCCCACTATGCAGCTGTGGGCTATGCTCCCTCTTACCTGACCGTTCCCTAGGCAACATCTCTTCGCCCAGTCTCCCAAAGTCACTCCCACATACCATTACATCCCCTGAGATCTGAACATTATTTCAAGGGGGGTAAAAAGGTTGAGAAAGGCTGCTCTAAAGCCTTTCCCCGTAATCCCTCCTGCAGTCTCCCATTCTCCTGGGAACAATTTATTCGGGACATTGCGACTATCCATGTTATTCCAGGGAAAAGTCTCCCCCCGTTTTGTCTGACTCAGGAGGAGGAAAGGGGCAAACTTCCTACATTCTCATCAGTGATTTAACCAGGTGGGGCAATATGTGGGTGTGAAATCAGAATGCAGAAATTCAAAATGAATTCAAGCCTGCATTATGCATATCAAGTTTAAAGTACTATGTATATCAAGTTTAAAGAAAAAGATGGGGAAAAAAGTAACAATGATTATGAAGAGTTTTTCCAGCCATGTGCTCTTTCAGTCAGGAAGACAGTCACAGAGACAGAGAATAAAGGCAGAGCAAAGGAATGACAAAAAATAGGAAAGGCACCCCAACTCAGATTATTTTCTATGAAATAAAACCCATATTTTAATTTACCCTGACACTAGTCCCTAGATACCTATATATTTCCTGGACTTCCAATCCCAAATTTCTGGGGATTGGGACATTGTTCCATGGCTTGGAACCAGCCCAGGAAGAAATGTTCCACCTTCTATGAGAGAAAAGGCACAATTAAGACAAGATGGAACTGGTCCCCTCCTATTCTGAAGGCTCACTTGAGAGACAAAATCTTTCTCCTCCTGAATAGGTGCTCAGCGTGATTTTCCCATGCTGTGATGGCTTCTGCCTGGTTTCTAGTTTGACAGGCTTGATGTGATTGATGGATCATATATGAATTTTCCTTCTATGGGATCTCAATCTCTTGAAGTGGGATTTCTCCGCAGGCACTAATGCTAGTTGCCCCAAACAATTCTTCTTCCATTGGGGAATCTGCTATAATTGTCCTCATGCTGCCTCTTTTGTAAACCCAGATTAGCACTCAGAAGAGTGCTAGAAAACAGGGCTATCACTTTTGAATGCTAATCCTCTGCTGCACAGAAGGTGGGTTTAAACTGGGAAAGAGAGTTAGATTCTGTCAACTATGTGTGTTACTGGTTCTGTCACCAATGAGTTGCTTTACAGGTTGTCCACTGCTTTTGCCAATGAGAGGTTTTACATGACTGAACCTTGAACACGAATGAAAGTTGGGGGTGGGGAGGGACAGCACCACCATTTCCTTGCAGTGCTCGTCGAGGACATAGCTTGCTCATTACTTATTTCTCCTTCCCTTCACCCTGAATCCTTCCTTTGCACCTAGTAGCCTGATGGACAGGTGACAAGTGCACAGGAGTGGTATGTGGGGTGATGTGAGAAGAACTTCCATGCATTAGGAGAACTGCCTCCCACTTCATCCTGTGCCCCTGTCATACCTGCAACCTGTTAGGCAACTTGACAGATGGCTAAATTTACCATTCACAGTACTTGCCTACACTCATCCCACCCCACATTAAGAAAAGTAATTGGCAGTTATATTTCCCAACAGCAGATGATGTTCAGTGGGAGGAGAAATGAAATAGGGGAATCAACCAATCACTTTCCTTAATTTGTTCTGCATTAACACTATCAGGACAGGGCCACTTGCTGGCCTTATTAGTGAGGCATACCTGTCAGGGGAGCAAAAGACATTTACCTTAGTTTCTGCTGGTTTAGTGGCTGGTGGGTAGTATTTTAAGGTGACTCTGCATGTTCAGAAACAAATAACTGCTGGCTGATATGCTGATTTGCTATTTATTTATCCTCTTCAGTTGTATTTTGAAGATCCTTCTAGGACAGTCCTACACAGAACCCTCAAGAGAGGAGAAATAATACACAGATGAACATGATTTAATTGTGAATGCAATCCTTGGGAGAAAAATGTATTATTGGGGAGTAATGAGTAATGTGTATTATAAACTGTAGATAGTCAACATATTCCTGATGGATGTTGTAGTTTGAGAAACATCTGATCAAAATCTTTGCACTATGAATCTGTGAACATCTGGAACTCAAAAATACTTATATATAACTGGTGACTTACAAGCCAATGTTGATAGTACTAATCCTCAAGACACTGGGGGTGTTGCGGCTTGTGTATTTGGGGAAGCAGATAAAAGATTCTTAATTACATCTCCTGGAGGATATGTATGCATAGATATTCCCTTCACATCTGTTGGGAATGCTTTCTTCAGATTATGCTGGGTTTTTTCCCCCTCACATTGCTCAATACAACATTTTTTCCCATATTTACTTATTCAAATCCTAAGGCAGGGTGGTAAACTGACAGGTCACAGAAACCACCACAGGCACCAAGGAATTCTAGGAGTTGAAATCTACACATCTTAAGGTTGCTGAGTTTGAGAAACACTATTCTAAATTGCTGAGTTCAAATCCAGTGCTCATACAACTTGGAGGGTCCCCAATGTATATTTTTTAAATTATCCAGGAGTGTTCTGTTCTCTTTCCTTCCTAGAAGCACTCTTGAGAACTTAAAATGCCAGGTGCAATGGTAGTGTATTCTGCTGTGTACCAATCTCTGTTTTGAAAGTGAAAAAAGTGAAAGGAATGGGGAAGAGGTAAGGAAAGGAAAGAAAAGACAGACTGTACCCCAGAGGGGGAAAATGAGGAAGCTTCTGACCAAACTTTCTTCTCCTATCCTTACAAAGTTATTTGCACTTATCCAAAGTATATGTGAACTGAATTTGCTATGTATTTAGCTCCTTCCTTCATCAATCTGGGCTCCTGAATCTCAATTGATTCCTTTCTTTGTAATGTAGCATTTCCTAACCCAATACATGTATCCGCTGGTTCTCAAGCCCTATACACAACTGAAGAGTTATGTAACTTAGGACAGGAAGTTCTGGCCTGTTGGGTAAGCCTTCAATGAATTCCAGTCTGGTTCTGCAAAATGCATTGAATATTCATTCCCATTCCATTTAGAGCTGCAGAAGTGGGAATGAGAGGCCTGGAATTGGCTGATAGAAGGGCCAGATGCCAAAGAGGGCAAGAGCCTTGCATCGTGAACAGATACATAAAAGAGAGAATTTTGGCAGGCATGGGTTGCTGTCCTTGTATTTCTCAAAACCAGAACAAATTGCCAGTCTTTTCTGAGTGGGAAGAAAGAGCAGGTAGGCTTCCTCAGGAAGTAGTACAGGGGGATGCAGAAATTATATAGGATTTTATGTCTGTTGAAGCCATGTTTAGCACGCCAAATGTATGCAATTTCAATTGCAACACAAAATGGTAGCATATCATCTCCATGGCAACTCCCTGTTTATCCTCATGATCTGTTCCGTACTTTATTGGCTTTTGTGAACAAATTATGGAGGAACAAGAAACTATGCCTCAGGTTATATAGTATGTCATTCAGGGAATGATAGAAGCCAGAAGATATTCAACACAGATCATCAAAGCACTTGACTATACTCGCTCTACTTTATGTACTATAGTTTTATACCAGAGCTTTCCAGGATTCAATCTTTGTATCTATTTTCTATGCCAAGGTTTAGTTCAGGGAATAGATGATTTAAGAACAGACAAAAATGCCCTCGGCAGGCTTAGAGTGTATTTCCTACACACCATTGACTGAGCAGAGAGAATCTGCAGCATACATCAGGGAGTAAAGAAGGGCTTCCTAATCAGAAGATTTCACCCCCAAAGTTGACTGCTGGCATCTCCTTTTTTTAGAAATTAACCACTGGGGATTTGAGAGCCCATAACAAGTGCTTGTATAATGGAATATGGCAACCTAATGAACATATCAGCAATTCCCAGCAGTAAATGTAAGCAGATGTCAGGTTCCAAACAGCAGCATAAAATTTAGCAGGACTCCCAGTGCTTGATTATCACTAAGCTGTAAATGCTGCCAAGTATTTGTTGGCAAATTAGAGGACTTATATTTTAATCTGGTGCTATTCCTCAGGGCACAACAGCAATTCGGGTGGTTGGGGAAATTCACATCCTTGAAAATTGTCATGGCAGGTGCATAATGTTTAATCTTCAGTGAAAAAGATGACAAGACTTCAGTTTGCTTGAAAACTTTACTAGTTCCACTGGAAAAAAAATAATGCAACCCTTGTTAAATTGAAAGACAAAAGAATACATGTATTTTAAGGATGTTAATGATCTCCTCTTAATCCGCATCACCACCATTCATGTTTTATGTTTTCTTCCACTCCTGTTTTAAATCATGTATGCACATATTATCAGATAGAAAATATATGGTCAAATATTTATATGCTGATCCAAGTGTGAACAGATGAGCAAACTGTAAGAGAACTTCAACATGTACTTCAGACAGATAGCACCAGTTCTCTTTCTGTTGGCAGAAAACAGGAAGTTTTAACACACATTTCCTTTCTGTGTGATTGTCAATTGGTTTAAAACTCTGATATAATCACATTTAAAATTAAATTTCTATTGGATCCATGATTAGCAATACAGTCAAAAGAGCTGTAAATGGGACATGTGAAAGCTGCCTACATTTATGATGATTGGTTGCAACTGCTCAGAAGAAGGCACTTCCTTTACAAACTCAGGTATTTATTATAATATTTAGAAAGTACCTGTCAGAGAATGTAGCTCTCCCAGGGTGGTGTACAAAACAATTGCAAACAATAATAAAATATTCCCATACTTAAAACATTACTTAGTTCTTTCCAGAAGGGTCATTGTCAGGAATGAAAAAGAACTAGTTAAGTGGGTACATAGGGATAAGAAAACATGATCTAGAACTGAGTATGTCCATGGGTTCTTTTCTTACTTACCCAACTGTCTTTTTACTCTTATTTTTTTCCCAAACTATTTTCAAACCCTATAGTTACAGCTCACCTCAAAGGTATGGATCCAGTATTGACAGAACAAGGTTCTGGGGTAATTGTGGGAGGGGAATTTCCTTCAAAATGCTAATTATTTCTCTGTGAACATCAACAAAGAGACTTCTTCTCCCAGTAAATAACACTGGAAGCTGAAATCACATTAACTAACCTAATGGAGTGACTATTAACATTAAATTAACCAGGTAACAAAACTGTCCAGAGTGCATGCATTTAGGTGTATAGGTATTTGTGTCCCATCAAAGAACAGATTCCATTTATTCCCTTGCTATACTTTAATTAATTAATTTATAGGCTGCCAAGCATTAACAACAAATATATTTCTTGTTCTTAAATGGCATTATTTTGACTCTTCTTTTAGCAGACGACACTAAGCCTATTTTAATATATCTAGACATTGAGCAGTACAGGTCTACGTGAAATAATTTTAACTGTGGACTGCTGCTGAAAGAGCCACTTTTAGGCACTGGATTAGCACAATGCCATTTCACAGAGAAAGGCACATGTTCCAGATACACATACACTGCTACCTCTTTATGGAGTGTATGGAAGAGATATATGAGAGAGAATGGAGAGAAAATTTATTATTGGAGCTCATACATCACACTAAACCATTTTCTTAAATTGCAATCTGTTGAATATGCCATAACTGGCTGGGCTAACACACTGCAGTAGGTCACAAATCTGCAACACTTCTGGGTTTTCACATCACACCAAATAACATTATGACCTTGCACAGGGTGGGAACCCAGTCTTTGAGTAGCACTATACAACTGAGTTTATTTCTGCAAAACTCCATAGATGGTGCAGCATCTGTATCAAATCAGTCCAACCTGTGATCTAATCCAACAATGGAATGTATTTAAAATATTAGTATATCACCTGTCATACCATACTTTTCTAGGTAATGCATTGTTACACACTAAATACAACATATATTATAAGGTGATCTTCTGGTCTTTTGTCTCTTTTGAATAGTATGTAGATGTTGTTTATCTCTATGT